TTTAAATAAAATCTAGGGCCCATGTGGTTGCTACATTCAAAGAACTTCAGTTCAGGATTCAAATAAATTTAAAGCTAATTCCAAATAAACCTTGATGTTGAAGGCTATTTAAAAGGTCAATTTGTTACCTTGAGAAACCTGTCCTGCATCCACCCTTTCCCCAGGTCACCTCATCTCTTCATGTTCCAACTTCTCCTTAGTTTCAAACTTCAGTTTTCCTTTCCTTTCTTGCCTCTCCTATTTTCCTCTTTTTCATAAATTCTTAATTCCCTGTTTTAGATTTTCTCCCCACTGGTAAAGCTGATGTGTACAATAGAGCACATGGAAGTGTCTGTGTGTGTCGTAAAATATGTGAATAACCACACATTTTTTTTCTCCTGTTATGCTGATTTCTATGTGCTTCTTTTAGTCTCCCAGGAAAAAAATCTGCAAGCAATTTTTGGGTTTTCCTTTCCTTCACTGAAGTGTATTATAGCATTAAAACAAATTAAAAAGCCTTTAGAAAGCAACAACTGCTCCACTTAACAACCACTTGCATTAGTTAACAGTTCTTTAAACTAACATTTAAAGCATTTTCCTTTTATCAGAATAAGATACTTACAAATTTCAAAATTCAAATTGTATTTCCAGATTTCTAAGAAAAAACTTCCCACACCACACATTTCCACCCCAAATTCCTTCCTCTACATGTAACTATGAAGTTTCTGATGTGATGTCTTTCTTTTCCAATTATGGGGATTGTCTGTGGACATTCTAACCTAGCAGATGAGGGTTTAACCCCCACCCCTTTTCCTAGACACTTTCAGGTCAAAGGAAAATCACTTTCTTTCTTTTCTTTTTTTAAAAAAATATATTTTATTGATTTTTCACAGAGAGAAAGAGAGAGGGATAGAGAGTTAGAAACATCAATCAGCTGCCTCTTGCACACTCCCTACTGGGGATGTGCCTGCAACCAAAGTACATGCCCTTGACCGGAATCAAACCCGGGACCTTTCAGTCCGCAGGCCGATGCTCTATCCACTGAGCCAAACCAGTCCCGGCAAGAAAAATCACTTTCTCCACCTTCTAAGTTCTTCTGGCTGAGCTAATAGTCAAATTAGCATGAGGCCAATTAATGCACAGAGAACATGTCCAGAATTTGCTATGGATGACTTGGGGGTGACATAAGAATAGGAGACCCACAGGTGCATTGGGTAGTGGAGGTTTATTTGCCATTTCGAACAAAGGAGGAGGCAGGGGTGTGGGATTTCAAAGGGAAAGCAGGCAATTCACAGGTAGAGGAGAAAGAGCAAACTTGTGATAAACACCTTCTTTATTGGGATGCTGAGGGGATGCTCTCCTGCTCTAAGCAGGTTTTTCTACCTGGATTCCTCCAGGCAGCTAAGGGGAGGGCCAGAGGTTCTTTCTGAGTCTTTTGTTTCTTAAAATAAACTTCTTAAAATCAATATCCCAGAAAGCATATTTTGGGGTGGCAAAACTTTGGTCCCCTTCAACACATGTTTATGAATACAGATGTGTTCTGTAAAATCAGCTCCCATTTCTCAAAAACAGTTATATTATAGTATCCTTTTGATTAACTTACTATTCGCTATTTACCTTATTAAATTATGTAATCATTATTGATAACTAAGACCTATGCTATTTAATTGTCTATTACTTATTGTCACCAGACTCTACAGATCTTTGGAAATATTCAAACACATCAAATATTTGCTGGGTCACACTTTTCCTGAAGTTATGTCTCCAGTGCCTCCTTCTCCCATCTAGATGGTCCTCAGCCTGCATCCTGGGACTTACTGCTTCTTCTCCACCCGATTCCTGCTCTCCAGGCCCCAGAGAGTCCTCTTTCTTGACTTCTTGATTTTGGAGAATATCCTCCAGCATGTTTCTGGAATGAAGTATTTGGTGGATAATATTTCTGAGCTGCATGTTTGAAAACATCTTTATTCTGCCCTCCCACTTAACTGTCTCATAGAGAGTAGAATTCCATGTTTGAATTAATTTCTTCAGAATTTTGAAGAAAATGCTTCATTGAATTTCAGCTTCCCGAGAGTTTGTTGAGAACTTCCATGCCTTTCTGATTTCCAATACCTTAAGTACGGCCCTTCTATTTCTTCCTGAGGGAACTTCTAGGTCTTTATCACCAACATTTTGTGATGCTGTCCCTGGGGGTGGACCTTTTCAGGTCTGTCCTGTGGGGGATCTGGATTGCCTTTCCACGTAAGAACATGTCTTTACGTCTGGCAAGTTTTCTTGAATTATTTCATGAGTAGTTTCCTCATTTTCTCTGTTCTCTTTCCTGTAATTGCTATTTTCGGATGTTGAAATTCTTAATCTTCTAATTTTCTTATGTTTTCTCTTTTCCTATGTCCTTTTTGTTTTATTGTCTAAGAGATATTTATTTTAACTTACTTTATCAACTTTCTCATTTAAGTTATTAGTTCCTGACTTTTCCAGAGCTCTCATTTTAGAATGCTTTATATATCTTTACTTATTGATGTAATGTTACCTTCAGAGACTGTAGATAATTAAGTTTTCTATAACATTTTTTCTTCCAGTTTTTTTTTTCTTTCAAATTTTCCCCCCTATCTTCCTTGAATGTCTGTTGATCCTTGATCAGCTGTGTATATTTAGGAGGGAGGCAGAAATTTTTTTGGAAGCTCTGCAAGGCAGATGAGGACTACCCAATGGCAGGACTCACTTAGCAATGAGGGGCTTCGGCCACCTGCCTCTCTTGCCGCCACTGCCTATGAGTTCAGACCTCCTGCTCCTGAAGTCCAGAGTCCCTGGATCCTCCCCCACACAAACGGGATCCCTACTTCCATCTCTTTCCGAGGTTTGCTCTGTCTGTCTATAAGTCCTCTTCTCATCCCGTCTCAGATCCTATCCCTCCTCCTGGCTCAGTTCACACATCATTTCTTTGCCACCTTCTTCATCACACATTTATAGGCCTTATTCTAGGCTTCGCTTGTTTTCTAAACTTAACATTTGTCTCCTCAACCACCCTGTGCAGAGGCTCCCTAGGACTAGAGACCACTTCACACTTCCTGGTGTAACCCTAGGCACCCAACCAGTAATAACTGTGGAGCACGATTAGTTGATTTTACTTAGGAAAAATAGGTCAACAGGAAAGGAAAGCCTGTATGCCAAATGGAGAATCCCTTCCCAACCTGTCTAATGCTTGCATGTGGTGTCCTGTCCATTCGCTAGTTCCCTGAGTGCTGGATCTGTGCTTTGACTCCTCAGAAGCAACATTCCACGGTTTCCTGCTCCCTGGGGCTCGCGTTCCTGACACTGTGCATGAGCGTGGGTTTGGGATGCACCCTAACCGGGTGTTATTGATAGCTCGTTTGTCAAAATCAATGAGATTGGTTTCAAGGCTATTTTTCAGCCATCACACTTGGCTCCAGGATGTTCTCTTGGCTGCAGAGAAATGGGTGGCGTTTCAGGGGGAGGAGGGGAAACTGTGCACGAGGCAAAGGGAGCTCAGCCAAAGGCGAAAAGAGGCCGAGACGTGGCCTCGAGTCCACACTCCGTCCCTTGAGACAACGCACTGCAGGACGAGGGGTCCCGCTCACCTCGGTGTCCGCCCATTCACTGAGCCCCAATCCGCGCCGGGAGCTGTCACAGCGCGGCCCACGCTGCGGCCCCGAGCGCCCGCGTACAGACGCCGCTCTCCGCCTCACCGCGCAGTTTCCCAGGCAACGGGCGCAGCGCATGCGCACCTCGCTTCCCCCGCGTCTCGGCCCCGCCCCACGCCCGGGCGGTTCCTGCACCGAAGCCTCCGAGCGGAAGCGGAAGTGCGCGAGCGGCCGCGTCGGGATACAGGCTTTGCGGGCCCGTCTCCGGCTGAGCTGGCGCATCTCTAGGTAGGGCCGGCCTGCGAGTCCCCTGCCGGGAGCCCAGTTCCCGCGGCCCCGCCGTTCCCCTCCGTCCCCTTCCCCGGCCCGTCTGACCGTCGCCTACCCCCACCCCGCCGCCGTGCTCCCGCCCCTCGGGCGGCCGGTGCCGGCGCCCTCGCGGCCCGGTCGTCGCGTCGCCCTCTGCGCCGCCGCTGGGTGCACCTCACCGTCCCCTGCGCTGCCCGGCCCGGCCCGGCCTCCGCCCTCCAGTCCTGGACCCTCGGGTCCCGAAGGGTGACCCTCGCGCCCAGGAACTTGCACGAGGGCGGCGGCTCCGTCGTCCGGGAGGGCTTTGGGCCGAGTGTGGAGAGGGGGAGGGGAGGGAAAATCATCCCGCCCCGCGGGGCGGAGGAGGATGTGGGGGTCAGGTTGAGGCGAGGACACTGAGGAAGACGGGGTGGTCGCGGGAGTAGAACCGGAAAAAATCCGGAGGCGAGGTGCCCCGTTTCGTCGTGTTCTCTCCCCCGCACCCCAGAGGCTGGACTGCAGAGCTCAAGGCTCCCTGGCAGCTCGCAGATCTTAAGTCTGTCAGCTTTCTTTACATTTATTTATTTATTTATTTATTTATTTATTTATGCATGCATGCTTCTCCCAGATCAGCGTTCCCCATTCCTTCGGCCGAGTGTGCCTGCCCCGCGTGCCCTTCCCATACTTTTTCCCTGTGAGCTTAGGAGCGAGTTGTTAGAACTGGTAAGTCAGAGCCTGAGGAAGTCTCTGATGAATAAATTATTTTTAGCTTTAACTCATGAATTTAAAAGTTTATATTGGATTCTTATCCTGAAATCTGGCTAAAAGGCATCCATGGTTACAGGTCTGCACACATTTTCCTTTTCTATGACAGTGGTGTGGTTCGTTGGCCCTCGAGGGGGATTGGGGAACTCTGGGGGCAGAGGTCTCCCCAGGGGCCCAAATCTGGGTTGTCCCGCCCTCATGATCATTCTCTCAGGGCCTCAGGGACTGACTGGGAGAACCTTCTGGAAGGACAGATCTCTGGACTGACATGCAAAGTGTTAGGTGTTAGAGCCCTAGTGAAAGGAATACAGACTTTGGAGACAGGTTGGGTTCCAGTCCTCGTTACCGTTACTGTCTGTGACTCAGGCAGGTGACAGCAGCACACTACTCTCCCTGCTCTCCTGCCTTTGCTGGCAGAAGTGCCTTTTCCAAGAGTCTGCACAATACTGGTAAGTGCCAGAGGGACTGAAGAGGGTGTTTGCTATGGGGCTTTCTGGTTGTAAAAAGTAGCCATGTTCTTTGCAGAAAATTCATAGAACAAAGAAATGTTTTAAGTGTATGATTTTATGCATCTTGACATGTGTACACACACACACCCGTTTCTTCTTTCTTGAACGACTCTGAGTCTTTGCTTCCCTGTTTAAAGATCCAGATCTGAGACAGGGACTCTGTCTGGTTCACTGCCTTGTCGGCAGCTGCTAGCACATGGCCCAGAGCACAGTGAACCCGAATGTACACTGAATGTACACTGAGCACGTGTGGGAATGTGGGTCCCATGTCTTTGGTTCGTCTGGGGGACCAGAGTACGTTCTCTCTACCCTCCTTAGTCTTTTTTTTAATATATATATATTTTATTGATTTTTCTTAAAGAGAGGAAGGGAGAGGGGTAGAGAGCTAGAAACATCGATGAGAGAGAAACATCGACCAGCTGCCTCTTGCACACCCCGTACCGGGGATGTGCCTGCAACCAATGTACATGCCCTTGACCGGAATCGAACATGGGACCTTTCAGTCCGCAGACCAACACTCTACCGCTGAGCCAAACCGGTTTCGGCCCTCCCTAGTCTTTTGATGTAGGAAATAGGATTCTGTATCCCTCTAGTCTTGGGGTTCTTCCAGAATAGGGAGGGTGTGGGATCTTGGGCAGCCAGTACCACCAGCGTCCCCAATAGCCCCTCACTTATCTTCATCCTGCCTGCCTCCATCCCTTCTCCACAACACAGGCAGGCAGTGCTTCTGAGGTGCAGGTGCTTGAGAGCCTTGACTGACACCTGCTTTCCTCTCAGAAGAAGTATGAGCATCTGTGTGGTCTGCACTCCTTTGCTGCCTGGCCCTGCCCACTGAGCTCAGCTCACTCCTGTTCCCTTAAACAGAGCTTCTAGCCACACTTAGCTTTTGGAGTTCCATCCCCCCCCCTCCCCGTTTTCCATGTTTGAGGAAAACACAAAGTTGCAGGTTAAACTATTTAATAGAACAGGTATTTTAAGCACCTTAGAAACATCCATTTAATAATAAAAAAGACACCTTATGGACTTCAAAGAATGTATCCCTTACCACTCTTGCTTCTGGCCTCGCCTGCTCTCCTGTCTCCATCTGGACACTCAGGACGGCCATTGTGGGTCCCAGACCTGGGCTGGGTCTTCCTGCTGCGTGTTCTCCCATTCACATGCTTTGCCCTTGTCTGCCCTACAGTTAGGCCAAGTGCTTGTTGCCTGTGGGACATTTTCCTGCTGGCGTGTAAGCTGCTGGAGGGCAGGGCTGTCTGTCTTACTCCTTGTTCTGTGTCTACTGTCATGTTTGCTGAAAAGCTGCTCACTGCCTGAGTAAACCAGATTTATATTCAGATTACTGCCCTGGTGGTGGTGAGGGAGCTGAGTGCTAACGAGTTCCAACTGCAGACTGACAGCCTGTTGGAAAAAAATTACCAGGATGTGCTTTTACTTGGCCTCAGCAGTTTCACATCTAAGATTCATCCCAAGGGAAATGATCCAGGATGTGCTCCAAGATTTTTATGCATGAATGTGATTGGCATTCTCATGTATGGCATGTAATATAGGAGATGACATAAATGTTCAGTAGTAGGGTTGAGATCTCACTTCACACCACTCTGTGCACCCATTAAAAAAATCACACCGCAACAGATCAACCTTCTGACTTGGCAACATGTATCACCTAATAAATTAAGACACAAAATAGGTTATAGAGAACTATGATCCCAATTTTTAAAAACAGCTAGAAATATATGTTTATTGTCCTATTTTTGGAAGATAAGTATTTTTTTAATATATTTTATTGATTTTTTACAGAGAGGAAGAGAGAGGGATAGAGTTAGAAACATCGATGAGAGAGAATCATTGAGCAGCTACCTCTTGCACACCCCTTACTAGGTACATGCCCGGAACCAAGGTACATGCCGGAATCGAACCCAGGACCTTTCAGTCCGCAGTCCAACGCTCTATCCATTGAGCCAAACCGGTTTTGGCAGTTTTTTCTTTGTTCTATGAGTTTCTGCAAAGAACAGGGCCACTTTATTTCTCCTGGCTACTTTTTCAGAAAAAAAAAAAAAATTATTTCCAGTATTAAAAAGTAATCTAGCTTATAAAAATCAGAAGTGTAATAAACCCTCACTAATATTTATATGGTTTTGTTTTAAGTTTTAAGATAATTTAAGAATTTTGGGCCGGGCAGATTTTACTAAACCTGAGGCAACCAATAAGTATTTAATGAATAAATTTATAATCTAAGTGAAATCACATCACACCAATTTATGAAGATGGTCTTTAGAGCTCACTTTGTAAGTAAGAAAAATGAAGCTTATAGAATAAGGTAACTTGCTCAGAGTTTCATTGCAAGGAAGTGGAGGTTAGACTCAGTGTGGTTTTATTCCAGAGCTTTTCCTTCTGTCTTCAGTACTGCCCAGCATCTGCCCGACTTTCCAGGATTCAGCACTCAAGGGTCTGCCACCAGCTGAGTGTCTACATCCGCTTTGCACCAGTCTGGCTCTTGATCCCAGTGGTCATGGCAGCTTTTGGGGGTCTAACAGGGCATCCTGAGTCTGGACATGTGTACCTGGGCATAATAGAGTACATCATGATAATGCCAGGCTTCCCATTGTGTGAGTAAGTTGCTTATTCTGACACGTGGAAAAGTAAGGAAGACTATTCCAGACGTAGAGGTGGGGCTTAACTTCAAAGAGGGCAGAGGCATCTGCCAGCCAGCAGAGGGAAGGACCAGCAGGAATCAGACAGGGGATTCTCTGCCTAAACTGACTCAGCAGGATTCTTGCTAAAACTGGACTGGGCAGGGCCAGCAGGAAATCTAAGGCCGTGCCTTGCGGAGAAGAAGGCTCTGGGAGCCTGCTTGACTTCGGTCCAGGAGAGTGTTGGGTCAGTGCCCAGGGAGCCTGTGGGCAGCCCTCAGACAGGTGGAGGCAGCCCTTTGCTTACTTGCTCGCCTGGTATTCTGTGGATCCTTAAATACTCGGGAGACGTGGAGCCAACACTGTCCCACAAGCTGTCCTGGGACAAACCTCTTGGAACTCTCAATCCCTGTTCATACCCTTCTGTGTACGGAGTCCCCATAACTTGCTTTTATTTTTTTTTTTTGGGGGGGGGGATGAGAGGAGGTGGAAAGGAGAGAAGAAAACAGACTTTAGATACCCCATGTGAGCCATGAGGGGCCTCCCTAAGTGGACCAAGGCTCAGCCAGCATGTGGCCATTGAAGGCTCAGGAACGATGCATGGAACGAAAAAGACTCATCCTCGTCATCCCGGCCCACTGATTAACATCCACCCGACACTGTTCGCCTCCCAGGTGTGCCTCTGGCTTTCCTCTTCCCTCCTGCTCAGAGACCAGGCACTGGTGTTGCTGCTTGTAGATTTTTGGCTTGTGGAGACAAATTATTTGATAAAGATAAATCCAAGGTTATGGTTCTGTTGCTCTGTAGGACATGAGCCCGCTTTGTCTCCAAATTGAAAGACTTGATTTAATCAACTCCAGCTCTTCCACTGCCTCCTGCACAGTGGGGCTCTGGCACAGGGGTGGGAGGGGGGAGCACTGGCCATGCCATAAGGAGTGCAGCCACGGGGACTGGATGTCCTGCAGAGGCTGCTCTGCACATGGATGTGTCCAGTGGCTGGCTTGTGAGTCCATTTGTCCCTCTGTCCGGATTGGCTCCTGACCTGTTGGCACAGATCGGGCGGATATGTTTTTGCTGAGGCATGCCATTCCATTTCTCTGTCCATTGAAGGGTTATGACTAAAGGAGCTTCTTGACTTGACTTCTGTCCACTTATTTACTGCACCCAGTACCTGGGATTGGTCTGGCTGCCAGGACAAGGAGGCCATTTCTGGCGGTGAGGCTGCCTCTGGGCTGGCTCCCTGTGTGCCTGCCCGCTTCTCTTCTGTGAAATGTCTGGCACTGGTGCTACCTGAGGACACAGGCCTATGTGTTATTCTCCCTGTGCCCACACTTGGAGTCTGTACACGTGGTGATTCCCGGGCTCTCTTTGAATAAATCATTTATTCATTCCCAAACGGCAGGCACTGCTGGTGTCAGTGTGACAGTACATCCTTCCGGAGGGCCCACATTGAGAGAACTGTTTCCCAGGCTGTGTTTGGGGCAGTAAGACTCCTGCCACAGGAGACATAACTTTTCTTTCTCGACAACAAAAATTTCCTTATAGTTTACAGGCAGATAAATTATATATACCATACATTTAAATAATCTTTAATGGTAGAGAGTGAGAAAAACCTCAGTATTACTCTTACCAATAAAAGGCTTAAAAACAACAAAAAATGTTTAAAAACATAATGGCCACAAAATTATCTTTTTATTCTTTAATTTATTTATTTTAAATATTTAAAAAATATATTTTATTGATTTTTGCAGAGAGGAAGGTAGAGAGTTAGAAACATTGATGAGAGAGAAACATTGAAGAGCTGCCTCCTGCACCCCCCCCACTGGGGACATAACCACAACCAAGGTACATGCCCTTGACTGGAATCGAACCCGGGATCCTTCAGTCCGCAGGGCAACACACTATCTACTGAGCCAAACCGGTTAGGGCAAAATTATCCTTAAAAAATTTTTTTTTAATTCTCATCAGATGATATGTTTTTTTAATTGATTTTTAAAAGAGAAGAAGGGAGAGAGGAAGAAATATCCTTTGGTTACCTCCTAAGCGCCCCAACCAGGGATCGAACCGCCACCTGGGTGTGTGCCCTGTCCAGGAATCAGACCTGCAGCCTTTTGATGTGTGAGACTATGCTCCAACTACTCCAGGCACTGGCGGCCAGGGCCACAGAATCATCTGGAAGCATTTCATTTCCCCCACTCGGCCTGCGGGGACAGGTGGTGGTGTGTGTGTAACACACTGAGCTGAAAATGGAAGGCCCTACTGCTGTCACAGGTTCCCAGATCTTTGTGTATCTGAATTTTCCTTTGCAAATGCCACACAAGAGCACATTGTAAGGTAACGTTCCTGAGGTAGTTTGTGATTCAAAATGAGAGAGATTGGCAGTTTGAAAAACGGGGGGAAAAGTGCGTGTTTAATTAAAATAGTGAGCTTTTCATTGCTGGGGTGAGAAAGGAGGAAAAACATCTGAATGAAATCAAAGCAGAGCTGAGCCCGACTCTGTAAAATAAAGAGGAGAGTGTTTTGGAAACTCAGTGTTGTCACTTGCAGTTTTAGTAGAAAAATGCTTGAAACAAAAATCCTTTTTGTTGGTGAGGGAAGGCAGCCAGCCCAAGCATGGTGGGCGGCTGCACAGATGGGGTTCCCGCCTGTGGGAGCTGGGTGTGAGGGAAGGGTCTGCTGTGCTCCTGCCTGCCTGGGCGCGGGGGTGGGGGGGCAGCATCCAGCCTGGAGCCTGGTGAAAGTATGGAAACCTAGTCACACTGTAATTTACTTTTGCTTCCTCATTGTCAACAAACCTGACCAGCCTGCTCTTTTCAAAGCTAGACCTTGAACAATGGCCTGGCATTAGAAAGGCCTCTGACACCCTTTGCAGACTTGTACCTCGCTGCGGCTGGGGTGTCATAAGAAAGCCCCTCTGCTTCAGAAATGGGGTGTATCCTTCCTCCGTATGGGATCCGTGCCTGGAGGTCCAAACTACAGCCACCCTCTCATTGAGATAATAATCAAAAGTCGCATTACTTGATAATGCTCTCAAGGTAGACACCTGTTAGTCTAGTAAGAGCTCTACAGTGGCCTTGGTGTGGATGCATGTGTTCCATTATATTTAATAACTCAGTGAGCAAGACTTCTCTACATTTCAACATCAATGTGTGTTATATCCATTCAGTTGTTATGTATTTCTCACTTAATGGCTATTAAACAGGTAACTTCAGATTCTAATGGGGCCACTGCCCATCCACAGGCAGTTAAATGATCACTAGTGCCATGCTTTTTCTCTGATAATCTACTCATAGCTTCTTTACCTGTGACGTGACTCGGACTTGTACCTGTCAGGTTGTGGTGGAGATGGAGGTTGTGTGCCATGCTCTGGTGCAGGCGTCTTCAAACTACGGCCCGCGGGCCACATGCGGCCCGCAGAGGAATCTGATCCGGCCCGCCAGGTTTTTTGGGCAGTGAGCGCAGCCGAGGTGTTACAGTAGGAATTAGTAGTTCATATAGTCCGGCCCTCCAGCTCTCTGAGGGACCGTGATCTGGCCCCCACTTTAAAAAGTTTGAGGACCCCTGCTCTGGTGTGTGATGGGAGTGGGCTCCTGGGGAGGAGTCATCGCTGGTGGAGGGGTTGCAGCCGCTGGTGGAGGGGTTGCAGCCGCTGGTGGCCACTGTGCTCAGGCCTGAGGCCTGGAGAGTCCGGCTTGTCCTTGTGTTGCTTTTGCATAACAAGGATTTTTGTTTGTTTTATCAAAGGACACTATGCCCTGATGAAGTAAAGAAAATGAAAGTGAAAAGAACAGGCGTTAAGATAAAGACGTTATCATGGAGTTTGTCTGACCTCCTCAAGTCTTGCCTTATATTCCATCTTTTATTATAGAAGGGGAACTTAGGACACAATGCTCTGGCTGGTGTGGTTTTCTTAGATTTTGAATTCTAACTCTCTAAACTAACTACATTGTATGTTTTCACATTTTAGAAAGAGCAATTTTCCATTCAGAGTTATTCACCATCTCAGATGTTATATACTTTTGCCTTAGTAAACTTTTTATTAAAAATATTTTTTAATTGATTTTAGAGAGAGGAAGGGAGAGGGGTAGAAACATTGATGAGAGAGAAACATAGATCGGCTGCCCCCTGCATGGCCCCTACAGGGGACTGAGCCTGCAACCCAGGCATGTGCCTTGACTAGGAATTGAACTGTGACCTCCTGGTTCATGGGCCAATGTTCAACCACTGAGCCACACTGGCTGGGCCATAGTGAACTTTTATTTACTGAATTTTTTTTTTAACTGAGGTTGGAGAAGGCTGACTTAACATATATGTGGATTTCTGACTGTGCAGGTGGGCAGTGCCCTTGACACCAGCGTTGTTCAGGGTCAGCTAGTGTCTTTTCAACCCCTATATCAAGGTGTAGTTGACGTACAGGAAACTGCACAGGCTTAGAGTTTATAGGTAACATGTGCTCACCCATGATATCATCACCACAGTCAAGGTAATGAATGGAACCATCACCCCAAAAGTCCCCTTCGTAAATCTGCCCTCTCACCTGCCCCCGCCCAGATGCTCTCTGCCACTACAAATGAGCTCAGCTCTCAATGAACCAAAAATTATATTCAAATGGAATCATAGCCCGTACTTTTTTATTTTATTTTTTTGATCTGGCTTCTTTCAGCAAAATTATTTTGAGAAATATCCCTTTTTGTTTTTAGGTTTTCAGAGTTAACTTCTATTTGGGTTCCTAGATGGAAAATACTACTTTTTTTAAAACTGTTAGCCTGCTTTGAATCCAATTGAGAAATCTCTTGAATAATAGTCCTAGCTAAAATCTTAAAAAGAAGCTACACTGTGTTGTCTTTGAAAAGTCCAACTCAAGTAATGTACACTTAGCTGAAGTTCCTCGCGTATTTTGTGGAAAACGTTAGGCTCCTGATAGAGAATGGCTATTCACCATTGTCTGTGGACTTTGTAAGGTGCCATAATAACTGGTTTACTTTCCTTTCCAGATCCTTCTGGGAGGTCAGCCATGGGTGTGAGAGGCTTGCAGGGGTTTGTGGCAAGCAGCTGCCCACGTGTATGTACAGTAGTGAATTTCAAAGAGCTGGCCGAGCAGCACCAAAGCAAGCATCCCGGATGCACTCCCACTGTCGTGGTGGATGCCATGTGCTGTCTCCGGTACTGGTATATCCCTGAGTCATGGGTTTGCGGTGGCCAGTGGAAGGAATACTTTTCTGTCTTGCGAGATTTTGTGAGAATTTTTACAGATGTTGGCATCAAGTTGGTATTCTTCTTTGATGGTATGGTGGAGAAGGAGAAGAGAGATGTTTGGGTGAAACGGAGACTCAAGAACAACAGGGAGATTGCCAGGATTTTCCAGTATATCAAGAAGCACAGGGAGCAGCCCAGCAGGAGCATGTTCTTCATCCCCTCGGGGCTGGCCATCTTCACACGGTTTGCTCTGAAGACGCTGGGCCAGGAAACTCTGTGCTCCTTACAGGAGGCTGACTATGAGGTGGCTTCTTACGGCCTCCAGAATAACTGTCTAGGGATCCTCGGAGAAGACACCGACTACTTAATTTATGATTCCTGTCCCTACTTCTCAATCAGTGAGCTCTGCCTGGACAGCCTCAACACCGTCATGTTCTGCAGGGAGAAGCTCTGTGCAAGTCTTGGCCTCTGCCTGGCAGACCTTCCGCTTCTGGCCTGCCTGCTGGGCAACGATGTCGTCCCGGAAGGCATGTTTGAAAACTTTCGGTACAAGTGCTTGTCCTTCTATACCTCCGTAAAAGAGAACTGTGACAGGAGAGGCAGCATCATCTTAGCTGTAGCAGACCACATAGCTAAAGTCCTTCGCGTGTATCAGGGTGAGAAAAAGCTGGAAGAGATGTTACCTTTGGGACCAAACAAAGCTCTTTTTTATAAGGGGATAGCATCATATCTTTTACCAGGACAGACATCTCCATGGATTCCCCCAAAAGCCAAAGCTATAACAACTTTGCACATGCAGGTAGTATCCGTGGGTTCAGACCCTGAGTCCAAGCAACAAAGTCCTGAGAGTTCAGACCCTGAATCCAAACAAGAAAGTCCTAAGAGTACAGATTCTGAATCCAAACAAGAAAGTCCTGTGTGTACAGACCCTGAATCCAAGCAAGAAAGTCCCATGTGTACAGACCCTGAGTCCAAGCAGGAAGACCCCATGTGTACAGATCCTGAGTCCAAGCAGGAGGTTCCCATGTGTACAGACTCTGAGTCCAAGCAGGAAGTTCCCATGTGTACAGACTCTGAGATCAAGCAGGAAGTTCCCATGTGTACAGACCCTGAATTCAAGGAGGAAGACCCCATGAATATGGAGCCTGAAAGCCAGCGACAAGTAACCATGGTTACAGACACTGAAATCTTAAAGGTAGGTAGACATGCCCACTCTAATGTAAGACGGCCTGATGGAAACACATCTATCAAGGAATTGGTCAGTGAATATTGACCCCCTGTATAGTTAAGGTGCTGTGGGAATGCAGAATAGGACCCAGGAGTTTAGTTAGGAGGTATGACATAAGCCCTGAAAAAGTCACATTGTAAACCATATTTGACATTGTCACATGACTGTTTCAGAAGAGGGCTCTGAAGGAAAGAGATCCCTGTGGATTAAGGGATAGAGAGAAGCTCCCAGAAGAGGTAGAGTGTGGAGCCAGACCTCAATGGGGCTGATGTGCTTCAAGCAGGAAAGATTGTGTAGTTACCAAAATTTAGTATAATATTTCTCGGTAGGGTCATTATAACTTCCTAGGTTAATTTGTCAGGATACTAATTTGTTTGAAATAAGAAGAATCATAAATGATGGAAGAAGGAAGAAGGGGAAAAAATGGGAGCTATTGCTTTAACAGGGTCATGAAATAAATAACATTTCTGATAGATTCTATGTCAGAAGGAGCACATAGGGAAAGAGGTCAATTCTGATGATCTTCAATTGGCTAGAGTATGAAGTAATAGCTCTTTAAAAACATTTTTTTTTTTTTAAATCTTACCTTAAAGCTGCTAGCTTGTGCTCTGTCGAGATTTAAAAACATTTTAGTGGGGGCGGGCACCAGGTGAAGGGAATTAAAGTGGGGAAAGAAGACATGTGTGATACTTTGAACAATAGAGATAAAAATTTTTAAAAGACATTTTAGCAATGAAATGGGCATCTTTGTAGTCTGTCTAGCCTTATCTATACTAATAAAAGGGTAATATGCTAATTAGACCGAAAGACCTTCCAGGTGTCCTTTCAAACAAAGCCATGGTATGGGGCCAAGGCAGAGGTGGTTAGGGGCGATCCGGCCAGGAGTGGAGGGATGTTGGGGGTGATTAGGCTGGGCTGGCAGGAGGGGCAGTTGGGGACGAGCAGACCCTCAGGGATGCAGTTGGCGAGCAGGCTGGCTGGGGGTGGGGGGGCAGTTGGGGGCAATCAGGCTGGCAGTTGGGGTCAAGCAGGCCAGCAGAAGGGGGCAGTTGGGGGCAATCAGGTGAGCAGGCAGAGTGTTTAGGGGCTAGCAGGCTGGCAGGTTTACAGTTAGGAGTCAGTGGTCCCGGATTGTGAAAGGGATGTCCGACTGCCAGTTTAGGCCCGAGGGATTGGGCCCAAACTGGCAGTTGGACATCCCCTGAGGGGTCCCAGGTGATGGGTGCATGCCGGGCTAAGGGCTAGGAATCTCGTGCACCAGGCCACGAGTATAATAACAGTTGATACTCACTGAGCACACAGGATGTGTCAGCCAGGTGCGTTTCCTGTGTTACCTCTCTCAATCCTCAGTAGTTTTGTGAGGTTGCCATTTCTATTAAATGTATTTTATATATGAAGAAAGTGAGGAATAAAGAGATTAAGACTCAAGTCTGCAATAATGAATCAACATTACTTACTATTGTGTATAAACAACAAGACAATCTGATTCACCGGATTTTTTATATTCCAAGTTATCCTGATGCCACATTTTAAGTGCCGTAGCTGAAGGCTATTTAAACTTAAATTTTGAGTAGTAATGTAAATGAATTTTTTCCTGCAGTAATAAGAATGTTGTTCACAGGAGAATAAGACCTGTATGTAGGTTTATAGCCCTTATGAGTTTAGTTCTTATTTGATAAGAAATTGGAATCATTTAAATCATTCATCTCTTCACCTGCCATCAATTATTCAACAAAGGAATGAATGTGACCAGCGTCTCCTCCCAAGGAGTTTACAGTTCAGTGGGGAGATCAGACAGGGTCACCTCTGCAGGGTCAGTGTGAGTCTAGTCCCATGAGGAGGGGGCAACACTGAGGTCAGCCCTTAAGGGAGAGGGGCTGGTAGCTCAGGTGCAGGTGGGAGAGGGTTGAGCATTCTTGGGAGCACTGTGGATGTGCACCAGGGCTGGTGATGGCAGGTTCTCTGAGGCCAAAACAGTTTGTGGGGGGAATGGATTGAGGCCTTGACTGTTAGTGTGAAGAACTTGCTTGGAGGAGGGCAGTGGTTGGACCTGCTTGCGGATGGTGGGGAGGAGTGAGACTGGCTGAGATAGGTTGGGCAGAGCCTTTCCCAGCATTCTTGCTCTCAGGTGGTCAAAGGACCATGCTACTGAGTCAACAAGTCTGGCAGGTGCTTGGAGCTGGAGAACAGGGAGCAAAAAGGCTCTCACCCAGAAGACAGGAAACACAAATGCCTGTTTGCGTTTGGGGGACAGTTATTCCTCGCTGTGTGCCTTAAAACACTGGTGTGTGACCTGAAGTGCTGACTTTTCTGTTTGAATGTCCTTTTGTTTGCAAGAAGAATTCCATTGTGTCTCAACTTTGAGCAGGTTGCTAGAGCCCAGCACGTCCAGGCGGAGAGCTACCTGGTGTACAACATCATGGCCAGTGGGGAAATCGAGTGCAGCAACACCTTGGAGGATGTCCTGGACCAGGCCCTGCCCAGCCAGGCTTTCGTCTACCGCCCGGTGCGGCAGCGTGTCTACTCCCTCCTGCTGGCGGATGGCCAAGGTGAGTCTTGTGACAGTACAGGCACAGGCGGCGTCTTACACTGGCCCTGAAGACACAGATGCCATTAAACAGGGTTTGTTCCTCAGTGAAGGCTGCGGTGGGACACCTCGACATCTGCGTAAGGTGAGGTGAAGGCCACAGGCCTCTGAGGCTCCTCAGCCAGCAATTGGCCCACAGTCATTAAAAAGAGCCTTGTTTCTATGAAGTGCTTGTTGTTCTGCCCTAAAGGTCTGTGCTTCTTCGAATGTGAAAGCCTTTTCCTCTGTAGAGAGGAGCTGTGTCTATCATTAGGAGACAGTGTCTACTTACTGTTCCTCAAAAGGAGATTTTCATAAAATATTATATAAAATCTAGTACATCGTATCTTAAAATATAAACAAAATTTTCCTTTAGGGTATTTGTCACAAGTTTACGTGTCTCCCCATATTTCTGTCCGTTGTGCAGTAGCAGCAAGTATAGGGAGAGCACATCAGTAGCCAGGGCAGTCACCTGGGATGCCTTCAGCACTGAGGAGTCCATCAGGCCCCAGCCCTCTCTAGGAATGGTCTCCGAGAGTGAGGGGAGGAGAAGAGCATGCAGGTAGCATCTGTCACCTCACTCACCTGAGAGAGGCCGACTGCACCGTCCTATCTGACATGAGGTGATGAGATGAGAAAGCTGATTTAAAAACAAATGAATCTATGTAACAAGCTTTGGGGACAAATAATTTTTTTCTTAAATATGGCTCTTTCTGAACATGAATGATTGCACATTGATGATTTGAAAAGATATTTTCATCATGGAAAGAATTTACATTATAGAATAATACTTGCCTCAAATTATTTTTAGAGTACAGTTGGCCCTTGACTAAAACAATGCAGGAGTCAGTGAGGGGTGTCAACCCCACACTGAGTCAGAAGTTCACCTACAACTTCAGTTGGCCTGCATCCTCAGATTCCTTGAAAAATGGGGGTTTGAACAGCCTGGGTCCACTTACTAAAATCTGCATATAAGAGGACCTCCGCCGCTCAAACTCATTGTTCAGGGGTCAACTGCATTTTATTAAATGACGTTAAAATAGATGCCTGGCCAGCGTGGCTCAGCGGTTGAGCGTTGACCCATGAACTAGGAGGTCACGGTTCGATTCCCTATCAGGGTACATGCCCGAGTTGCAGGCTCAATTTCTACTGTGGGGTGTGCAGGAGGCAGCCAGTCAGTGGTTCTTTCTCATCACTGATGTTCCTCATTCTTCTCTCTGAAATCAATGAAAATGTTAAAATAAAATTTAGAGGTTTAGAGTTCAGGTGTCTTTACCTCCACTCATCTACTGATGGGCATTTGGGTTGTTTCCAGATCTTGGCTACTGTAAATAACAGACTGAACACAAACCCCAGGCTTTGCACAGTGCACTGAGCCGGGGGTCACAGGTGCCAAATCGATACCTTGACACTTCGAGTCCCTTGTTGTGGGGACGATGTGGATAACGACCTGCTGGACGTTCCAGATCTGATGGTGCTTGTGTGGCTGGTTGATGTCACACCTACATGTATGTTCTAGTTGAATACATGGTGTTTGGATGGCTAGACAGCGCTGTGCCAAATGTGGGGAGAGCCCGGCAGTCACTCGCCCCTTAGGCCTCCCTGGCCTTCTGCCGGTGTTTCCGGTCTCTAACTCTGTCTCTGAGTCAGTCTCCCCACTGACCATCTAGCTGACGTCACTGAGGGGAAGCTGCTCCTCTGCATCCTGGTGGCTCCCGGTGCTGGCGCAGAGCCCAGGTGGCAGTGCTCTGACGGGGTTAGCTGTCCTGTCACTGGGCACCTCCTCACTTCGCCCAGTGGGCTGGCAGGGCAGCTAGTATGATGGGCACTCACCCTGTGGTGCGGAGTCAGTGTCCAGCAGGCCATTTACTCAGAAATCCTAGATACTGACCTAAAAGGCAATTAAACACACACACACACACACACACACACACAAGAATGGAAAGTTATTCTGTTTTTTTAAAGACCATGAGCACACACAATTGTAGATTAAACAGCAGCATAAAAATATTACAGAACTCTAAGGACATACATATGCATATGTTTTTAATTTTACTTTATTGTTGACAGTATTATAGATGTTTCCCAGTTTCTCCCTTTTTGCCCCTCTCCACCCAGCCCAGGCCTTTCCCATGCTATTGTCTGTGTCCATGGCTTATATGTTCTACCGTTACTCTCTTCCTTTCCCTCCCTCTAACCCTCCCTCCAAGATCTGTTGTTCTGTTCTTTGCATCTATCCCTCTGGACCTATTTTGTTTGTCAGGTTTTGGGTTTTTTTTTCCTTTAGAATCCATTTATAAGTGAGATGATGTGATACTTGTCTTTCTCTGACTGGTTTGTTTTGCTTAGCATAATATTCTCCAGGTTCCTCCATGCGGTCTCAAAGGGTAAGATATTCTTTTTTACGGCTGCATAGTATTCCTTGGTATAAAGGTACCACAACTTTTTTTTTAATATATATTTTTTATTGATTTTTTTATAGAGAGGAAGAGAGAAGGATAGAGAGTTAGAAACATCGATGAGAGAGAATCATCAATCAGCTGCCTCTTGCATACCCCCTACTGGGGATGTGCACACAACCAAGGTACATTCCCTTGACCGAAATCAAACTTGGGAGCTTTCAGTCCGTAGGCTGACTCTCTATCCACTGAGCCAAACCGGTTTCAGCAACACAGCTTTTTTTATCCACTCATCTACTGATGGGCACTTGGGTTGTTTCCAGATCTTGGCTACTGTAAATAACGCTGCTATGAACATAGGGGTGTGTCCATTCTTTCTGATTGGTGTTTCAGGTCTCTTAGGATATAGTTCCAGAAGTGGGATCACTTGGTCAAACAGAAGATTTTATTGATTTTTTTACAGAGAGGAAGGGAGAGGGATAGAGAGTTAGAAACATCGATGAGAAAGAAACATTGACCAGCTGCCTCCTGCCCACCCCCCACTGGGGATGTGCCCACAACCAAGGTACATGCCCTTGACTGGAATCGAACCCTTCAGTCTGCAGGCCGACACTCTATCCATTGAACCATACCAGTTAGGATCAGAAGATCCATTTTTTAATTTTGAGGTAACTACTGTTTTCCACAGTAGCTGCACCAGTTTGCCTTCCCACTGGTAGAACAGGAGGGTTTTCTTTTCTCACCAGCATTTGTTTGTTAGTTTATTGATGGTAACCATTCTGACAGGTGTGAGGTGATACTTCATAGGACAAATATATTTTTTTAAAACCTAGAAGATTGTTACAAACTTAACAATCCCAGTAATTGAGAGGTTGAAGTCCACATTGCTTCTTGCTCTCTCTTGCCCCATACACCCCAAATGTTCCCCCAGACCCACATGGGGGGTGGGGGAGTTGGCGCTGGAGGGGGGTGCATAGTCACCCATGCTGCTCCCAGGGAGACGTGTCTTGGAAGCACGTGGATTTGACAGAGCCGCATCGTGTGTCAGGATAACAGGAGCAGGATTGAGCCTCCTTCCATCTCCATGCGATGTTCCAGCGGAGGGAGAGGAAATGATAAAGCGCTTTTCCGAGAGGCCTGCCTTCGCTCATTGACCTCAGAGCCCAGCCAGCGAGTTCCAGAGAGAGGCAGCCTGTTCTTCCAGGACTGCCAGGCTGTTCCTCTTCTCTTTCTTTATAGGCATCAGGATTATTTCATCTTAATTCAGACAGACCAAATTATTCGCAAACATGTCTGCTATAATTTCAAACTGATGACAGATTAAAACCTCTGAAATGAAGTGGCGCCACAGAGAATAGCTGAACTCAAGGGTTTCCCAGGAAAATAGGTTTATTATTACTGAAGGATCTCAGATAACACTTTGCATTTGGCTTGGGGGTTTGGAAGGCATGGAGCTGGGGCTGTCTGTAGGAGGGGTGACCCAGTTAAAAGTGGAAATGGCCAAAACCGGTGTGGCTCAGTGGACAGAGTGTCGGCCTGCGGACTGAAGGGTCCCGTGTTAAATTCCGGTACCTTGGTTGCGGGCACGTCCCCAGTGGGGGGTGTGCAGGAGGCATCTGATCGATGTTTCTCTCTCATTGATGTTTCTAGCTCTCTATCCCTCTCCCTCTCTGTAAAAAATCAATAAAATATATATTTTTTTTAAAATAAGTGGAAATGGTGCCATCTGGAAGTTCAGGGTAGTGAGGACAGTCCGCCCACTGCCAGACGATCCTGGTGAGGGCAGCCTCTGCCCTCACCTCTTGTGGCAGGGGCACACGGTCTGTGCAGCCACCTGAACTGTTGCCTGTGACACAGAAGAACACGCAGAGGGGCCTGGTGCTCTTCCCCTGCCTCCGCCTGAGGACAGTGGAGGGGAGTGTCTGATGCTGGGGAGCGTGGGAGGCACCAGGCTCCAGACAGGAGGAAGCACTACCTCTGCTTGGAAGGGTCCCTGGCAGAGCTGAGTTTGGGGACGCTTGGCCCTCATGCATCTACTGATCCGCTGTCTTTCCTCAGACGGCGCCAGCTGCCCACCCGTCCAGGAGTGGTTTGTGTACTCTGGGAACCCGCTGACACACCCAGACCTCGTCAGGCCTCTGCAGATTAGCCTCCCAGGTACAGATGGCCTCGGCCAAGCAGGTCCCGACTGTTCCCGGAGCGGTAGAGTGCAGGATTCACCTGGAGACACATTTCCAGAGCTGCCCATGCACTAGTGACCAGTTCGGTGGGCTGGAGGGGGGCCTCTGTTTGTGCGTGCCAGCCTGCTGCTGGGCTCCGCTCAGGGTTTCAGACAGCCCATCACCGCCAGACCCCAGCCTGACCCACTGAGGGTTGGGTTTCTCATAATCTGCACGAGTCAGCTCTTCTTCCCACTACTGAGAGCATATTTTAATGCATGGAAAGTCATTTTAACTGAAAGAATAAGTTCCCTTTTTTACAAGAGGCATCCTGTTGCTCCCTGGAGTTTGGCAGCTGCCAGGCAGAGTGGAGAGAGGGACAAGGAGCTGGTGTCAGCCCCGCCTCCTGAGGGCAGCGCCTGGGAGCATCCTCCAGAAAGCATTCTTAATCTTGCGGGCACTGTGCGGGGAGGAGAGCCGTGCCCTCAGAACACGGAAGCGCAGTGTTGTCTGGGAAATGTGTGTGCGCTGGCCTTCAACCCAGCCTCTGCTGACATTTGCCTCTGGTCCCTCTAAGCTTTAGAGCCCCGGGTGTCAGGAGGGGAGGCTTGTGTCCTTTGCTCTCGCACTGTTCCTAGAGAAACTCGCTGGTGCGGAGGCTGATGTCATGGACTCTGTGGACTTTTTGTGCAGGGGGAACGCCTAGTTTGAAACTGCTGTGGCTGAACCATGAGCCTGGGACCCAAGCACGGCGCATGGAGGTGCTCCTCGCCTGCTTCGACCTCTCCTCCTCGAGCGAAGAGCTGCAGGCCGTGGAGAGCCCCTTCCAGGCGCTGTGCTGCCTCCTCACCTACCTGTTTGTGCAGGTAACTAGAGCTCCTTGTGGCTGCTCAGTTGCTCTCACTTTTGGGCTTCGTCTACCTTGAGAGGCAGCACTCAGTGCAGCCAGGCGGTGGCTGCATCACTGTCGAATGCTGGTCCTTGAGCGCCGGCTCTGCCGGGCCTGCCTTCCAACTAGAGGAGCAAGTAACGGGCTCAGGAGCCCTGCTGCCCTTTGGTTCTGCTTCCAACACTTCAGGACGGGAGGCCCACTGTTGTGACTGCTGGGTGGTCCTTCCTTTCCTGGGCACGGGGTGCAGGGAGGGCCCGGCTCTGAACCGCCCTGCTGGCCGTCAGCAGTCTGCGCTGCTGGAGTGACATCAGCTTTCCTAAGTCACCGCCAGCCACTCCTCCAAGTCGATCATGTCCTTCACGCTCAGCTGAGGAGGAGATAGCAGCTTCCTCCTGAGCCCAGGACCGTGCCGGGAGAGAAGGCTGGGGGTGGGGGTGCTTTGCAGGAACGCCTGTGAGAAGGCTGCGCTCGCCATCCCATCGCCTTCAGTCCTCAGCCCGTTGCAGGGGGGCGGTGGGTGGGGGTCCCTGTCAGACCCTTCAGCAGCCTGGACAGCTCCTTCCTCATTCACTTCACACTTAGCTTACATATGAAAGATACAAAAGCCAGTAAAAAGATTTGCCTTTTGGTAGTTTCCATACACACAGCAGCGTCCATGCCCAGCCCCACCTCCCTGCCCCCACTGTCCTTTACATTCACTTCTGTCTCAGTTGTCCCAACCACAAGAGCAGAGGGTCTGTGTCTTTAGCCACAAAACTGTCTCAACCTCCTCCTCCAGGCCATCTGCTTTGGCTCTGATCTTGGGTCGGTTGGGCATAACCATGAGTTTTATTTGTCTGGAGTGGGAAGTTGTGTGATTCTGTTTTCAATCTAAATTCACAAATAGCTGAGTTGCATTTCGGGGACCTTGCTGCCTCCTGGCCTCAGTGCTCACTGGGGTGTCCCTGGAATAGCGAGGTCCTGACTGTCACTCACGGGGTAATTATTGCCCTAGATCAGTCTGCTAAGAAGGTGCACTTATAGCATTCTCACACGCCTATATAGCTGTGCTTAAATTAGATGCTTTTGGGTGTGATTTGGGATAAAAGTACGTTCTGTTCAGTGTACAAACTGCACAGAAACTAGTCTGGGAAGAGCTCCGTGAGGGCATGTGCATCTGAGAAAGGGCGCTTAACCACTAGCAGAGCCGTGCTCTCCCTGTGACACTGGTGTCACTAAAAGTCTGCAGTCTAGACTTGTCTGCTGTAACTGGCTGCTGGATGTGGGCGGTGAGAAAGCAGGGCAGGAACAGTGCCTCAAGGGCCCTTTTCTTTTTTTTCTTTTTTCTTTTTTTAATATATTTTATTGATTTTTGACAGAGAGGAACGGAGAGGGATAGAGAGTTAGAAACATCGATGAGAGATCGATCAGCTGCCTCTTGCACACCCCCTACTGGGGATGTGCCTTAACCAAATTACATGCCCTTGACTGGAATCAAACCTGGGACCTTTCAGTCCGTAGGCCGACGCTCTATCCATTGAGCCAAACTGGTTTCGGCTCAAGGGCCCTTTTTAAACCACCTTCTTCAAACGTGGCTCAGGGCAAGAGGTGGCATCACATGGCAGCAAGCCCAAATTAACGCAGAGGTGGGTTGTGGATTTAAAACGACTTCCTCTGCTGGGACCTGCGTCTGTAGAGGTGGTGGTGGTGGGGGGGGGTCCTTTCTTGGTCACAAGTACCACTTCTTTACACAAAGGCAACAACTACTTTGGAATAAAAATGGAATAGGGAAGTGAGGTGGGTAGTGGGAGGCGGAATGTTCAGAGCTTAGCAGAGTCAGTTTCCCCATGCTGGGACTTCCCACAGGGCGCACGTCCTGTTTGGAGGAGCTCCCAGGTCCTTCTGAGGGAGTCACCAAGCTGGTTCCGGCCCCTCCCCTCTCTTGAAGAGGCCCGAGGAGTCTGCGTCCATCATGGCTCTTGGGTCCCCTCCCTGCCTCCCTGCCTGGCTCTTCTCTGCATTTCTGCCTCCTCGTTTCTCCCTCATACTTCTCCTAGACCTTTCATTCCACGAAGGGTTGGTGGAAACTCCTTTTGGGGGTCCTGATTTCCTTTAAATTGGGATTCGAAGGCACAAGCTTCCCCTGGGGCTGCTGAGGGTGCGTTCTCATCCCAGCTCTAGCCGCCCAGTGCGGCCATGTCCTCCACAGGACACTGCTGTCGCAGGCTCTCTGTCCAGCATGGCCTGGGGGGAGGCCCTGCTCACTTCCACCTGCGTCTGCTGCTTGAGATCAGCGCCATGTGCCTGGAGCACCGTGTCTGAGAGAACTAAAACCAGCTCTCCTTCCCTCGCAGGTGGACACACTGTCCCTGGAGGACCTGCATGCTTTCATTGCTCAGGCCCTGTGCCTCCCAGGGAAGTCAGCTGGGCAACTCGCAGACTTACAGGTACTGGCCCAGGGGACGGTCTCAGTGCTGAGGACACCTGGCTGTGGTGGGACCCAGCAACGTTAAACACCAAACTGAGTAGAAGGAGCTCAGGCCCTCTCCTGTTTACAGGTGGGAACTGAGGTGGAGTGGAGGCTGGATGTAACTTCTCATGAAATGAAGGGACGTTGACGCAAGAGGCGCCAAGTGGGCCTTTCCTTGTCTAGTGACACTGGGTCGCCTCCCACCACCCTGCTGTTGGGGTTGAATGGACTCAGGGCCTTCCGTCCAGCCACTTCTTGCCTCTTCCTTTTCCACGAGAAAGACTGGCTTCCCAGGAGGGAGGTTCGGAGGAATGCCCTGGACAGCAGGCTAAGAGAAGCTGTGAGTGAGGGAGGGTGCTCTCATTTAAAGAAAGAGAAGCCAGCTTTCTGGGGTGATGCAGAGAGGGCAGCCACACAGGCGAGGAGGCACTGGTCTCCCTGACACAGCACGGGAGGAGCTGGACATGTGGCGGGGGCGCTGAGTGCTCCAGACATGGCTGCCCCTGCCCAGCTGCAGCTGTCCGTGGTGCTCAGCCGACAGCTCCAGAGCACAGAGTACGTTCCTTGTTCTAGACGGGCTCATGCCGCCCGAGTGAGACACGCAGAGGGCGATGGGATTTAGTGTAGAATCTGCAGAGTTAGAAGGGAAAATCATCTAAGCAACTTAACTAGAGTTTCCAGGGTTCCCCTTTTTAAGCAGCAAGAACACCCCACTCCCTTCACCCCCCACTGGCTTTGACGCTACCCTCCTTCCAGACGGAAGTTCTCCTTTCAGAATGGAAGAATCAAGAGGACAGACGTCGCAGCTAAGCAGGTGGACAGCCTCTGCCCTCATGTGGTCCTGACAAACTCACTGCAGACAACTCAGCCAGACCTGGAACCTGAGGACCAGCCCTAGGACACAAGGGCCAGACGCACACCCGCTGACCTTGGAGCCTGCCGTCCTCAGCACTACACGTCCGCTCAGACGGCCCGGGGGGCTCTCCCTGAGGGCTGTCTTAGACGGCTGTGCCCACTGCCACCCAGAGACCCTGCCGCGGGAGCTCCGTGTGGGACCTGCAACATCAGACCAGAAAGGTGACCTAGAGCCTCCGACTTGAATGAATGCTGTGGCCTGTGAAAGTCTTCACTTGGCTTCAATAAGGAGCTTTCTGTCTGAAGCACCTGGAGCCGGGGCCTGCTCAGCCAGCTTCCCACCAGCCCTGCTTCTCACTGGTTTCAGTCATCGTCAGCCGTTTGGTGTGGTTCTCTTCCTGAGTGGCTTGTCGAGGAGGAAAGCAGAGCTTACTTTCCAAAATCTGACATTGGAATTAGAAAAACAAAACAAGGCAGATGTGACTGGACAATACTTTACTGGGGAAAATGTGTTCTGGGAAATGAAAATATAGAACCACACCAATTTTAAACAGGATCCTCGCCTGCAGACACCGGGAAGCTCAGGAGAACACCCTGGACATGCGGGTGTTTCTGGGGTGAACACATCACTGCTGCTGTGGCATGGCCGGTGTGGAGCCCGAGGACAGCCGAGGGTCAGGCCCGGCGCCTGCCTCTCTCCCACGCGCAGTGTGCCTGCTGCTCCTGTTAGGTTCCCTCACGTACAGTGGCGAAAGAGTCGTCCTAGGAATCAGAATTAAAAGCAGGGAGGAGGTGCTGGCTCTGAAGGCACCTGTCTCAGAGCTGACAGGTGCCGTCTGGCCAGGTTGGTGCTGAAAGCTTGCTGTGGACTCGCTGAAGATCTCAGAACAAGCATTGCCTATCACTTGGGTTCGTTCTTTCTCAAGAGCAAACTTTCCTGTTTAAAAACCAGTGACGTCTCCCCCTTCTTTGGTGCCTGCCTGGCTTGTGGAGCCCATCTCTCTCCCAGCAGGGAGGGAGCCTGACCTTGAGAACATCAGCAGGCCATGGTTTTAGGATAATTTGGAAGCAGTCCTGGACAGCAGATGCCTTTAGAGCACCTGGTAATCCCAGCTTATGGTGAATTTCCCAAGGTGATCAAGTATTTTTTATGTCAACTGATGAAGTGAAACCTACTTATAAAGGGCATAAAGTGTCACGTTTCCTGCCTTTTTCTGGCTTTGTGACTAAACTAGACAGGTATCCAAGTGGTGGCTACTGAACTTGAGCCCGTCTGGCCGGCTGAGCGGACGTGTAGCCTCAGCAGAGCCAGGGGAGTGTGCATGCGGCCAGAATCATGGACGCCTGCGAGGGGTGGTGACCTGTGGGCCACATGGCCAGAGTCCCGCTCATGCTGCTGGGAGGCGAAGGCTGTCACTAGCAGGTCCCTGTGGCAGGGAAGCCCCATCTCGGGGAAGACAGGATGTTGTCCATCAGGGAGACTTGACAGCAACAAAGAAGTACTTTTTGTTGGAAAGGTCGTCTTAATTTGTAAAAATTGTCAGCGCATCAACCCTGTAAGCCATTGTGTCCTCAGTGATGAGTATTAATTTAAAATGATCCTTGGGCTGGCTTTAGCTCAGCGGTTCATTCGAGTAAAATGATCCTTTCAGTGACCACACTCAGGCTTAGAACAACCGAGTGTCACTTTTCGTTCACCAGGAGCCCATCGCAGAGTGCACCTCAGAGCCTGCCCGAGGGCTCAGCTTTGCGGGGGACAGGGCCACTCAGGGCATCTGGGTGGGTGGGCGGGCAGGTGAGCGAGCGAGCAGACGGGCGACATGGGTGTCAACTCCTGCAGGCCTTTGCCTCTGTGCCTCAGTCCCGAGTGGCACGGTTGTGTTGTGAGCACAGGCTCGCATCTGTCCCAGTAGGGCTTCCTCTCACCTCATGGTCTGGTCTCCACAGCTCGACCACGTGGACCCCAGAGCCGTGCAGCTGGGCTCCCTCCTGGTCCGAGGCCTGACCATGCTGCTGCTGGTCAACAGCGCATGCGGCTCGCCCTGGAGCACAAGCGACCTCATGCCATGGAACCTCTTTGACGGGAAGCTATTCCATGAGAAGTACTTGCAGGCTCAGAAGGGATACTCGGTGGAGGCCCTCGTGGAGCAGAACGTGAGTTTCTGGTTGTCCCAGAGGCGGGGCCAGCGGCTCGTGGAAGTCCAAGTTCGTGGCCTGGCACAGGAAGGTCAATGCTGTGTCCTCACGCCCCTCCTGTGGATGGCAGGCTCTGAGCCAGACACACTGCCTGTCACTCAGGAGCCAGAGAGTCCGGCTTCCGTAACACATGTCCCTGGCCTAGGACCCCAGATGTCTTGAGGGGGCAGCAGCGCACCCCAGTGCACCCACAGCTCCTGCTGGGTACCCCCTTGTGTACAGTGGCGAGAGAGAGCCGTCCTGGGAAACAGAATTAAAAGTGCCCTGAGGTGCTGCTGCTGCCTCTCCCAGCCCAAGGTGGCAGAGCTGGGCCACGTGTTTAACTCTCAGGCACATCCCTCTGCCCCCTTTCGAGTGAGAACAGATGTTTCCTGCAGAGGTGCCTCTCTGGGCTCCAGGCAGGAGGCGTGGCCACTTACTAATGGGAAAGATGCCGAGGCTGGAGGGTAGGCCGGGGCACAGGCTGTGGTCTGGCATCGTGAACGCAAAGCATGCGGTTCCTGGAAGGTCTCCAGTGAGGCTCAGCCAGGCTCGCTGTGCTGCCCATGGCCCATGCGGGGGGCGCATGCCCCTGGCAGGGAGGCAACTCTGCGCTCCCATGGTCGAGTCACACACAGCAGGGCGTCTCAGGGACTTTAGTTCGGAATCTGGAAGCCGCCAGGGCGTCGGGCAGGCGATGGGAGCCGGATCACAAGGCAGCGGTCGCTCCCACGGGCTGGTTACCACCGCAGGGACAAGGGGCGGAGCTGCGAGGTGGACCAAGGGTCTATCTGCTCCCTCCAGTGTCTGGACCCTGTGTCAGAGCCTGAGGGACGCCCGCAGTGTCCCCAGCCACGTGTCTGACGCTGGTCTGTTCGCAGAGGGCGCTGCTCACCCATTTCCACCAGCTGAAGTCCGTGGTATGCAAAGCCTGCCAGCGGGAGGACCGGCGCATCGCCAGCCGGCAGCTGTGGCAGCCGCTTCACTCAGGTGGGTGGAGGCAGGGTCTTGGGAGGAAGGCCGGGCTGACGACATGGCTTTACCTTTGGTTCCTAAGGCGAGAGCACGTCAGAGGGTTCCTGGGTGAATTCGTGCTTCAGAGCTGCTTTGGGTGGGAGCCCTTCTGGGGTCGGGCACAGGCCCTGCCAGTGGCATGTGCTTCTCATGGGCTTGTGTTTCCTCACACCAAGCATGCATGCCACAAAAGCAAATGCAGAGAAGACAGTTAAACGGGGAGCAGTCACTTGAATCACGTAGATGTCGGCTGAGGACAGTTGTGTGTCATGTGGTGCCTATGCTTCCATCGCTGTGCTCATCTCTGCAGCTCTTTGACCGGCAGCACTGCCAGCAGTGTGGGCGCCTATCGGCAGCAGGACACCTGGCTCCCACCCACTGAGCTCCCCTCAGCTCTGAGGTTGCTTTTGGTTCTCATACGTAGGACTGTCACCTGATCGTTTCCTTAGAACGAGGACGACAGTTTTTACAGAATTACAGATCAACACGTAATTGGAATTGGGGTAAATGCCACTAACTTGTCACTTCCACCTCCGCCAGCAGCGATGGAGAGCTCCTGCGCATGCGCCCTCAGTGACCGACAGGTGGAGGAGGCAGAGCGTCCTCTGACTGCTCCGTGCCTGCCCGTGGCATGGGCCTCTTGTTCATCGTGAATTCCAGTGATTTCATGGCCTCGTTTGGTCAGCATCCACGCCTGTGGCCTGAGCAGCTCCTTGTTCTTTCTTGGTGGATAAGAGGCCACCAGCTTCCTCCCCAGAGGGCTGTCCTCGTTCTGCTCGGCATAGCCTTGCACATATCCTTCCGGAGCCTTTGTGTACGAGGTCAGGACAGCACGGGGGCACGTCAGCTCCTGCTAGGTGCCATGTGGGATCTGATGCAGGGTGGAGCCTGGGCATCAAGGGACTGAGGGCAGCGAGGACCGTGGGGGCGGGGAGGCTCTGGCCTCCCATCTTCTCCCAGGTGAGCCTTTCCTGCCAGCACAGGCAGGTTGCCCAGGTGGGACTGCAGGGCTCTGCCCACTGAGGTAGCCACACGGGAAGCCTCTGCGTGTGCAGAGCATGGTCATGCTAGCAGGCACCTTCATTCCTTGTGAAACACATGTTTTTAACACACATGTACATCGGACCTAGTCAGACCTCCTGTGTTAAAGTTGGTCAGGACAGATGTTTAAGGAGCTGAGGGGTGGGAGTGGGCGGTGAGGACGCGTGGGGTGAGGGTGTGTGAAGGACGTCTGGAACGTTGGGTCTGGTGACCGAGGCCCTGCGCTGGTCCTCACTGACGGGTCCTCGCTGGCATGGATCCTCCGGTCACCATCACAGGCCTCAGGGCACATATCCAACCACAGGTCTCCGTCCCCCAGCACTGGCACAGGCCCCACCTGCGTTTTCATGGGCTCTCCCTCTGATGATAAAGACAGAAGGTGGACGCTGCTGCCCCTGCTCCAGGCCTGCATGTGGCATTTCACGGGGTCGGGCATTGGTGCCTGCTCATGTGCTGGTGGTGTCCCCACAGGGAGGCAGGGAAGACCGGGATCTGGTGCCCATAGGAAGAGCTTCGGAAATAGCCGTTCGGACCAAGGACAGCACTGGAGAGAGCAGGGCCCAGGTAAGAGGGCGCTGCCCAGTGTCAGTGCCTGTGTCAGAGACGGGTGCTTACCAGGGATTAGGCAGGTGGGCACGAGAGCCCCGCTCACTGCACAGTGAGGCAGGGACAGGTCCTCACCTGCACGAGCTGGTCTGTCTGCTCCTGGTCACTGTTTTCCACCTGTCAATCACCTGGTCAGGGCCCTGCACCCCGCGGACCTCGTCACCTTGCAGGGAAGGAGCCGGACAGCCCAGGCCTTGGGCCTCTAACTGAGGCTCAGTGCACCTGCTTGCCCAGGACAGCACAGCCTGAGCGCGTAACGGGAGACCCAGGCTGACCTGGGACAACCTGGAGCCACGGGCCACATGTGTCCTCCAGAACTCCTCTCTGCTTCCGTCTCCCGCTCTGTGTCCCACACACGTGGCCAGGGGTGGCGGCCACGGGGACCCTGGCCTGGGCTTGTCTCCCTCCCTTGTGGGTCTTAGGAAGTCAGGGAGATGATGCCAAGTCCTGCGGGCGAGGATGGGCCTGGAGTGGATAGGCCATGTGTTCTGTGTGGATACCACCTCTGGGCCCGGGCTTCCCATGCGTACTCGTGCAGCATCCTGCCCCCTTGCATTGTGTTCGCCCAGCTTCCCTCGGTGCCTAGCTTGGGGCACATTGGTTCTCTGGTTCTGCTCTTTCATGTTGGAAAAGAAACAGGAATGAAATCAGCCCATTGAACGTCAGCTATGATTGAGAAATAAAACTTGAAAGGAGGAGTGTGAACAGCTTGCATGTGGCCCAGGCCAGGTGGACGTGCCTCTAGGCCCTTGCGTTTGCAGCCTCTCAGAATAGGAGGCATTCCACCCCCTCCCCAGGCAGCCAGGGTTCCCACCGAGACACGGGCTCAGCCTGCGCTGCACAGGCAGCATCCTGAGCCCCGAGTGCTGCTAGCGCAGTGCCATGTCCTCCAGGTCTTTCCCGAGGTGTTTTCACTGTTAGTTTCCTGGCTTTTCCCTTCATAGTTAAAGTGAACTGATTCAATAGAGGGTTTATTTATTTAAATATGTGTTTTGTTTTTCAGAGAAGAAGGGAGAGAGAAGAGAGAGACAGGGAAACATCAGTGATGAGAGAGAATCATGGATCGGCTGCCTTCTGCATGCCCACTACTGAGGATTGAGCCTGCAACCCAGGCATGTGCCCTTGATCAGGAATCGAACCTGAGACGCTTCAGTGTGCAGGCCGATGCTCTGTCCACTGAGCCACACCAGCGAGGGCTCAGAGTTTTTTCTGTTAAAAACCAGTGTCAGTTGTGCCGAAATAGCCAGAATGAAGCTATGTTTTAAAAAATCAATATAGACAACAGCCAGACCCTGATCATGGTACTGGCCTGGTCACCCCAGCAATCACTGCCCACCTTTCGAGGCCGTGCATGAGGACCCAGCCTGCCCAGGCACCGGCACCCGGAAAAGCCGTCTGCCCTTGCGATACTCCTTCAGCCCCGCGCTTAGCCCCCACTATGCTCAGTGCCAACCCCTGCGAGTGCCGAGTGCGTGTCGTAGGACCTGGGTGACTGCTGCTGGGCACGGGGAGTCCAACTCCAGCAAAGCTGGGCCAGCACTGTCCTGTGTCCTTCTCTGGCCAGGGGTGAGGCTGGACACTGGCCTGGGGAGACCGTGGCTGCAGGCAGCACAGGGGGTGCAAGTAACCCCAGGTGACACAGAGGAGGTTGTGTTGCTCACTGCATGAGGCAGTGCCATGTCTCTTTAACTTCCGGAGTTTCTATGTAAAATGGGTTTTGCGTGCACACACAGTCTCATATTGTGCTCAGAACATGTTTTTTTTTGGGTCAGGTAATCCAGTGTTTCCATTTAATCACCTGATTGAATTACATCTTTACTCAGCCAGCACGGTTTTTGCTGGGCTTTGTCTGCCTTTGGCCACACCGTTTGGAAGTCCCAGGGCTCCTCCTGCCTGGGAAGCTCTGAGGGCAGAGAGGGCGGGGAGATGTGGGCATGAAAGCTCCAGGACCTTTTAACCTCCTTACTGGTGTGAGGGCTGAGGTGTGAAATTCCACAGTCAGCAGCTACCAATTGGCTCTGATTTCTTCAGGTTGTCACTCGGTGCTTCTGAGGGTGCTTCTGAGGGAGCGGCAGCTATAAAACTGCCTCTGATCCCCGGGGTAACAAGGGCAGGGCAGGCCCCGAGCCTCACACTTGGGAGAGGTGTGAGCAACAAAGACACCCCTCCCCACCCCCCCGCCCGCCCGCCCACCCCTCCCTCCCAGGGCGTCATGACCTCAGGAGCCCGGCTGATTGTGTGGGAAAAGCATGATCTGTTGAGTGTTGGACCTGTCACCTATGGCTACCCTGTGCGGGGAGGGATGAAGGGGAGGAGGGTGGCGGCCGCATTGGACGGGCACCCTGCCCCACTGTCTTTTCTGGACTTGGCAGGATGTCCGCATGGGCGTCTGCCTGTGAAGCTCCAAAGTCGGGGAAGGGGGTGCAGGGGGGTGCCTGGAGTTGGGAGCGGCACTGACACTCGCTTTCCACCGTGAGGCTGCCTCCATATCACCATCACGGAGTCTGTGTGAGTAAAAGTGCATTGCCAAGTGGGCCCGCCGGGGGAGAACAACCCAAGCCTGCAGATGCCACGCATGGCCTGGCACCTGCTTAGAGATGGTGGTTCCTCCCATGTGAACTTTAGACAAAGTCCATTCTCACGTATGGTTTCCTGTATGTGCAGGAAGCAGACAGCAGGAGTCGAACCCGTGGAGAAGGGGTCCCTCGTCTGGGTAAGTCGCCCTTCCATTTTCTGAGTGAGCCAGTGCGCCAGACGTTGGCGTGAGACACATCTCTACAGCAGACTGCACGCCAAGGGCCTAGCGTGAAAGGAGTCCAGGTGTCAGGTCCTGTGGACAGGCCACTGAGCTAACTTGGTTTCCCGAAAAGTCTTTTTTCTCTAGAAAAAGGGTGGCGAGAACTGATGGCGAGTCTGGACTTGAAACCCCAGTGGCACCTTCCTTCAGTCGTCGGAGCCGTGGTGGTTCTGCCTGAAGAGAAGGCTTGGGGGTCTAGACCTGGCTTTCCACAGGGAGGGAAAGAGGGAGGGCATCCTTCCTGCTCCTCCCTCAGGCCCTCGGGAGCCTGGGGGCTGGTGTGGAGGGGTGTGTCTCCCTCCCGTTTCAGCACCCTGGACCCACGTCCTCTTTCAGATTAAGACCACAGTTCTCACAGGGCATGTCCCAACTGTCTGCTTGGGTCCTCGTTTCCTCCCTGGCGGAGGGCTCCCTCTGGGGTGGGCTCAGGTGTCTGCTGTGCGCCCTCCCTTCACTTGTCTTTGCCGGCTCCAGCTCGGAGAGTGCTGCGGGCCTGTGCCAACTGCCGGACTCCAGTAAGGGTTCGCTCTCAGAGTCAGGAGCCTGACCGGGTCCCCTGATGAGGGGTGTTTGCTGCTCTTGGCTGTGAGCACCATAGAGCTCTTAGCTTAAAAGACACTGAAAGCAAGTCCCAAGCAGTCCTCCGCGTGACGCATTTCCAGGAAACCCCGGAGCTGGCTGAGCCCAAGACCTCTGGTTGGTAATGACTAGAAGTTGAAAGTCAGCCATAGCCCAAGCCCTGGCAGGGGTCGGGGGCGGGAGAGGGTAGGGGTGACCTCCCCTGCCCCACTCCCTGACTGACCCCCAGCTCCCAGAGGGCTCCTGCACTCCCCCCCGGGCCACCTCCTCCAAGCAGGACCCCTGCTGCCATGCCAGCTCAGTGTGTGGAGCCCCGGCCCTAACTTGTCCTAAACCCCCATCTTGCATTTCTGGACGTGGGCAGTCTCCAGGGGTTTCAGTGTGTGTTTCTGACGTGTGAAGGAGCCGCGCTCCCTGAGCTCCTCGGTGCAATGTTATAGATCTGACTGCTTTTTAGGCGCATCTGGTAGGACCTGATTTCCCAGGTTTCGAAACACCCCCTTTAGTTCCTCTTAGGGGTGTTTTCTCTCTAAATCCTAAGGTTTTGATCCTTTAGTTTCTGCTAAGTTGGGACCGCTACTTCCTCTACAACTTTTGTCTTTATGCTGCTCATTTGTACAACTTGGAAGTACGTTCTCATCCCCTAGACGTCGGTCCGCCCCCAGGATGATCCCCTTCCTTCCTAACAGCTCAGGTCTCACTGGTCAGGGAGCTGTCTGTGCAGTCAGCAAGCGGAGCTGCCATGGTGGGGAGCAGGGAAGGCGCAGGATCTCTGCTATTCTTTCCAGTGTTGGGTAGTTTACCAGTGAAACCGTCTGGGTCCTGTGCTTTTGTTCGGGGAGGTGAGGGTTGACGATGTAAATAAAGCAGCCTCCGTGCAGAGGCCCAGCTAGCGTCAGATGATGCAGCATTGAAAGGTGGGAGACCTTCAAGGAAGAAGACAAGGTGTAGACTCTCAGCAGTCCCGTTTGCCCTGGCTCTGGAAGTTCTAACCAGACCAGCCAGGCAATGAAAACAGTAAAAGGCTCTCAGGCCCCCCATTTGGGGACTTGCCCCTTGGAGGCTGTGGGGAGGTGTGGCTCATGTCCCAGGCTGGCTGAGGGGCGCTCACACCACCAACCCCTGTGTTGCAGGTGGTCCAACTGACCTTCCACCGGACCCCAGGCCCCCTCAGCTGGAGACAGCCCCTGCAGACTTGGACATGGGACAGGAAGTGGACACATCCTGCTCACGGACCACCAGGATGTAATAAGGCACCGAGGCTCTCACATCGCCAGCACGCGGCACTGGGGACAAAGCTGTTTTGGCTCCTTCCCCTGACAGCAGTCAGCGGTCAGAGGGACTTGGGAGGACGGCTTCTGGTGCGTCGCATCCCTGAGGCCTCACCTCCCTCGGCTTGCCTTTGACGAGGGTGGTTATACGTGTGAGATGCCACGGGGTTAGTTGCAGGGCAATCGTTACAGCTGCTGGTCTAACAAACATG